TGTACCAAAACTAATTGACTAATCTGGGCATGAATCACGTCCCTGCAGGAAATTGAATTAGTTTGAAAGTAATTTATAAACAACTTTATTTTTAACATGGCGATGTCCTAGGAAGCAGTCAATTGCATTTTACTGCATGTATTTTCAACTACTTTAAAATGAATTTGGCTTACGCAACTTCAAAGTCAGAATTTTTATTTTTCAATACGCTTTCGTTCTGCACTTCACAGATGCTTTTTCATAGCTAAGAAAAATCGAAATTAAAAATTTAAATTTAAATGAATTTTGAAGCAAATTGTAGCAAACATCTTTGCATGCTCAGCTACAGCCAAACATGTAAATGTGCAGCAAGTCGACTGTCCGACTCTGCATTTCATTTCAACTACTTTAAAATTAATTTGGTTTACACAACTTCAAAGTCAGTATGTTTCTTATGAATACGCTTGCGTTCTGGACTTTTCAGATGCTTTTTCAAACTTCCAAGACACAAATGGTTTTTTACGCAAAAAACTATAAAAATTCCAAACATTTACGCATTGCATTTGTTTTAAAGTAGTCTTTCAATTAGTTGATTTAAAAAAAAAAAAAGTTACTTGTTTCCGTCAGGGACATAACCAAAATCGTCTGAACGATATCGTGTCGAGATTGTTTTGTTCATGAAAACCAAAAATTGTTCGATCGTTTGTGCGATATCGTCAACTCGATACCAGTTTTGCATCACGTAGCAGTAACAGTAACACGTAACAACAACACAACAACACAAATGCATAAATCAGTGTTTTGACGACGTCGTTTAGCCAGTATCGTTCGAACGATTATCGTTTCAAAGTTACGTGATTGATTCATGCCCTGATAACAAATTGAAATTCATATATTTAGAGATTGTAGACATATACAGATATATATGTACGTATGTATTTATATTTGGTATGCATTGGAATTGTGTGTGAATACAATAAAGCGCTTATTAAAGAAATCAGAAATTACAAATGTGTTTATATAGTTTACAAACGTTATTTTTCAAAAAGCGAATAACAGAGCATTCAATAATTTTGTTAATAATTATTATGCTTAAAAATATTGAAAATTACAATTTACTTTTACTTTTGGTTTTAATTGTTTAGTAGGTCGTTAATATTAGCTAAGCCGTTCTGCGCATTCCGAGCTACTTCCTTTTCTAAAACATTTTTTACTTGCTATTTAAATGTATTAATCATATTTGGCCAATACCCAGCAGTTAACAGTTTGGCTTGTTTACGCATTTTTCAATGAAATCTCACAATTCTCAACGTTTTCTCTGACCTCTGAGCTGCCACCACCATCAGATTGTTGATCGCTGATATTTGTACCCCCTTCTCCCGTTCAATGTACTGGTATCCGGGTGTGTTATTGCTGTGCAATCGGCGTAGCAGCAGCTGTTCGCGTGCTCGCAGTAGCACCCACACCATTGGCACAATTCAATTCGTCGGCCGAAAGGAAAACGATTGCAGCCGAATTAATACAATAACGCTTGCGTGTCGGCTTCGGACCGTCCTCAAAGACGTGACCCATGTGGGCGTTGCAGCGGGCGCAGCGTACCTCTGTGCGTATGCGTTCTGGATGTTTAATTAGTAGTAGAATATTACCCCCTTTTTAATTGTTTTGTTTGCACAAGTGGAATATATGCATATACATATATATATTTTTACATAAATTATATAATAGATAAGAAATATTATTTTGTTTATAATTCGTAATATTATATATAGTTGGTGATGTTTAGGTAGGAGATACAAAACATTATTTATGCACATTCCATAAGGGAGGTGTTTTTTTTATTTTTTATTTATAAGTAGGTTGCAATTTAAATGGATTTTTATTTTTAGTTAATTGGCATTGAGTCGATTTGAAATTGGTTTTTAGTTTTTTTTTATTATAGTGAATTTTCGTTAAATTAATTAAAATTGGTTGGAAGAACATAGCCGAAGAAATAAAAAAAAAGTAAAACAAAACAAAAAAATAATTTCAAATTAAAACAAAAAAAAAAATCCATTAATTTAGGAATGAGTATAGGGCGAATAAAGGATAAAAGAACGAAGAAGAAATACGGTGATGGTTGAGGAATTTGCATGAGTAAAACAAAAAAAGTGAAACAAAGCGAGTGAAATGATAGAAAACGAGCGAAATGAATTTCGAATCAAATCAACAACGAAGCGGTGAGAGCGAAATGTATAGTCGAGTTCGAGGTGTTAAAGTAGTTGCAGACAAGAAATGAAGGTAAAAAAGTGAAGCGGCGAAGAAATATGTTGAAAAAAAAAAATCATCGAAAACAAAAAGCGAAGACAAAATTAACCAGTGAAAATGAATGATATGATGTTTGATCAAAGTGTGAGCGTTAAAGGAGTTGATCAATATTTTGTTACACAATTCGCAGCGAATGCAAATGTTGGTTTTAATATTGTTGTTAAATTTATGTTTTTATGATGAAAATCATAAGCATTGTTAATTCATATTTTACATGTGTTGTTTGTATATTTTGCAAAATCATAAAAATAAAACAGCACTCAATGAGAAGTTATATTCATTAGATGTGCATATGTATGGTATGCAAATACAGCAGATATTTCGCGAATGTTATAATGGTAATGGGTTTTTTTAATGCATTTATGTAATAATCGATGTGTGTGAGCAAACATTTTTGTGTTTATTATAATTTAATAAATTTAACGGATGTATGTTGAAATGAGTGTAGAATTTAGACCCCCGTACAGGCACATGTACATATGTTTACATATAAAAAGCGAAAAAAGGGAGAAATAGAAAAAATATATAAAAAATTTATTATTTCAAAAGTTATTTAATTCATCATCTCTTATAAATGTACATATATACTATGTATGCATTTGCATTAATATAATCAGCGTTATTTAGTTACTTATTGCTAAGCTGCAATTAGTGTAAAACATGCGATTTTGAAAGGAAAATCGAGAATACATACATATAAGAAAATCGGAAAAATCCGGTGGTTAACAGCTTGTTTGGCATACATTTAAGTATAAGGCAACTTGTAAAAAAATTGCAGAATCTAGATGCATTTCGCCATGTGAAAGAATCTGCATTCTTTTTGCTATTGTTATAATTTTTTTTTTTTTCTTTTTTTAAAGATATGCGAATGGGTTCGAATGCAACTACTGCCATCTGCGGTGGATTTCGGATTCGACATCAGCATCATAGACGTCGCAAACACATAAAAATGTGCGGGCAGCTCGATCGGTGAGCTACAATGCCCAATGTGGCGACTTCATATAAGCTATTGACAACAACAAAAAGGAAACGTGTTTGCTAGGAATAGAGAATTAAGAAATACTGTATGGATGGGATACTCTCGTACTACTTCTTATAAATGCAACCGTTAAGTGTGCAATTTTGCTTAAATGTTATCTTCTCCTTCATTTTTGTTAGGAATCCACTAATCCCAATAGGGGTGACGATTTGCCCATTTCAATGCCCAATTTTTACACTCAAGAGAGCAATCGTTTCTGAGGCTACATTCTTGCACATGCTTAACATCGGAAGTACGCCATAAATTAGTCGTCCCGATCTTCCGATAGTAACGCCATCGAAATGTACTAATCATATTATTAATTATGAAGAAACATATTTTTATAATTTGAAGCAGCTTTCGCTTGCGATTCGGAAGCTGCGCTGAAAAATTGCCATGCTGGCGGGGACTAACCAGTTTATGAATCTGAGCTGAGCTGAGCCATTGCATTTATTTTAATGTATTTTAATGTCAAATAAGATGAAATAAATATGCTGGTAGTTGTCGAAGAACCTTTCGCTACTTTCGTGTCTAAACAGCCTGAAAATGTAATAAGGTTACTCATGTTTTTTTGTTTTCATAAGCTTGTACATACATACATGTTTACCATGTTACCAAAAATCACAATAACCACTTTGATCACAAAAAACATTTAAATTTCAAGCAAATCAAAACACCGTCAAGCGATAATGCAAATCCAAATAGTAAAATGTATTAGTTAATGTTTTTATGAATGCGGGTATGTATGTATATTCATATGTATTTATGTATATGCAAGTAAAAAATATACTTATGAGCATCAAATTCCAATGAAATGGAACCGAACCAAAACTCCTTTAGAATGTTGTTAAACTTTCCGTCAATGCGTGAATATGTATGACAAAATAAATGGGGAAAGTAAAATCAAATTTAATTGCCTAATGTACGGTACTCTTGCAGGCACATATGTACGTTAGACTGTCACAAAAATATATAAAAAAAAAAAAAATGTTTGAAATTTTTGTTATGCATACCCTCTACATTTATGATTTTTTTTAGTTAATAACCTGAATTAAAGCTGCCAAATCGTCCATGAAAACTTTGTAAATGCACAAAATTCGATACGTTTCCCACATTTGAACGCATTTCTAGTAAATCTACATCTTTAAATTTTTTTGTACGACGGCAGGATTTCTCACAAGGACATCGAAAAAATTAATAATTGGAAAAATGACAGTGTCTTTGTAAGGATGTATTACAAGGCTGCAAAACGATAGGTTTTCTAGTCGAATAATTTGTGTATGTCCTGAAAATTTGCAATTGTAGCACATTTTTTTTAATGGGCGTAACGAACATTAAATTATTAAATTCAAATTTTATAACAAATTCTTTTCCTCCTTTAAAAAAAATGCCTTCCATAATATTTAATAAAAAAATAAGGGTTTTAGTATTTGGAAGTATAAATTAAAAATTTTAAAAATTTAAAATTTGTATCCTTTTATATCCTTACCTACATATAAATTCATATGATTTAAGTAACACTGAGATTCTTCAAATTACATTCAAAATTAAAAAATCTGGTAGGATATGTATTATTTTAAAGGACATTTTTGGAACATTCCAAAAGGATAATAGAAAACAAAAGTTATAATTAGTATTTTTTTTTTATTTTTTTTTTAATTGATACCCATATATGTGTTTATCCATATTTTGTGTAAACTTTTGGAAATATATTATTACTTACGGTCCTTTGGAAAAAATCCTGAGACTACCTGGTAAAAATCTAAAAAACGCAGATTTACCGAATACTGTAGGGAGTATAGTAAAATCGCCTTATACAGAAGTAAAATAAGAATTTTGACAAAACTCGCGAACTGCACAAAGATTATTCTGATAACTTTGACTGCAAGTCGGCAGGGTTGCCGTGGTCCGAATTGCATAAAATTTTATTCTTACAGTTTTTACGACAAAACCAATCAAATGAAGTCTACGTAACCGGAACGACCCAGAGGGGGTATGCCATAAAACAAAAACAACTCTGGTTTTTTGGGACAGTCTAATGTATATACTTTTATTCTTACACATTGAATACAGCTGCAGCAAAGCGCGACATCGTCCATTTTCGTAACGCAAGTGATTTAACCGTTCGAAAGTGAATAAAAAAATATGTATATAAAATACAAATTCCTTTCTTGTCTTACATAAATTTTAATTGAATTGTTATTTAATAAAAACAAATTATGTATACAAACTTTTATTTCACATTGATTAGCTAATCCATCATACTAACTTACTTCGCCGTTATCAAAAATACAATCGCACTGCACTTTTTACTAATAAATGTATGTACATACTATGTATGTATATATAGGTAAGTATATATTGTAAATTACAAATCATTTATATACTACTCGTACGTACGTACATATGTATGTATGTATGTATGTATGTGTAATATCAAATATTTAGTATAAAGAAGAAACTTTAAATTTGAATTTGTTGCGAGTAAATTGTTGATAATTATTTTTTCGCATTTCCTTTTGAGAAGGAAGCTGATGTGGCGGAGGAACCCGACGCATTGTTGCTGTTGTTGTTCTTTATCGGTACAAAATCTATGGACGCCGAATTGATGCAGTAGCGCAGATGCTTCGGTGGCGGGCCATCATCGAAAACATGTCCCATGTGCGCAGTGCATTTGGAGCAGCGCACCTCTGTTCGCACCATGCCTAACATTTTCGAAATTACTACTATTTTTTATTAACACATTATTTTGTAGGAATGTGCAAGTGCAAGTTTCGACAATAAGCGCATTGTTTAAAAAATTAATGCACGAGTATGTATGTATACATATTTATTTCGGGTTTTCGAAATTCATTTTAATGGTTTTCACATTAATAATTTAAATTGAATGTACGTTTACGGGGTTTAAGTTTCATATTTCGTTTGCGTAAAAAGATACGAATGTGTATTGAAATTTTAGTATGCGTTGAAATTTTGTGTGTTTTTGGCAACACAAAAGTTTCACAGAATAAGAGATGTTGCCGCAAGTTAAAAAGTATAGAAGGAAAAGAAAACATTAATTAGGAGCATACCCTGGTAGAGTTTCCAATAGATACAGTACATGTACATATGTACATAAATACACATGTACACAAACGAACCAACAACGAACAAACGAATTAAAAAAGCAGTAAAAATTCGTTTAACCTTTTACTTTTATTGTTATTATTTTTTTGTTTAATTTGGACAAAAGGAAGCAAACATATACATACATATGTAAATAGTTACATACGCAAACGCACAATAGACATTCAATTATCAAGCGAGTTGGATTGATGTTTTTTTGTTTAGAATGCGCTACATACACTTTAACTCTTGTTTAAGAAATACTATGTCTACAGAACAGTGAACATTCATATGTACATATGTATGTATGTATATAGATATATATATCGTCACCTGAAATGCAAAAAGACGTAGCAACATCGTAAATTTAATGCAAAAAGTCATGACTAATATTTTATTTTTTTTTTTTTATCATAAAATTATGTGGGGAGTTGTAATTCCATCATAAATATAAATCAAGTGAATTTTGCATTTTTTATTAGTTATGCCTTTTTGCATTTCAGCGATGATGTTTGTTACGTCTTTTTGCATTTCAGCTGACGATATGTATGTAGATACATATGTCAATATGTAAATACATTACGGCTATTCCAAATTAAACGTAACAAGATTTTGCGCGATGGCTTTTGATTTGGCTCAAATTTAGCACATATACTAATTTCAGGGTAATACTGACAGAAATAAACTTATTTCGCAATTTTTTTTTTAATTCTGCTTCGCTGGGGCTCGGCCAACATTTGTTGTTGTTGTAGCGGCTACAACAACCTCGCTCAGATCGGCTAGGGGTTTAGTGGGGGGAATGCGAAAAGACATTTCGAGTCGTAGGGTGTCTCTCCGCATGCCGGGCACTTATAGGGCACATCTGCATCCAGTCTGCTCAAGTACGAGTTCAACTTACCGCAGTAGCCGGAGCGAAGTTGGGCTATTGTAGTCCGAGTCTCCCGTGGCAGCCGAAGCTCTGTCTCGTCCACGTCAAATGGGTGTATGCCCAGAATGGCATTCACAGGTCTGGAGTCTACGTAACTTGAGACCGACTCCCTGTGAATGACGCTCCAGGCCTCTCGATATACTGTCCGGTCCAGAGGTTGCCTTATGAAAAGGAATAATTTAACAAAAAGTAGCTAAAACCGACCTTGACAAAGCCGATTTTTGCATTTGGCTATAACTGGAAAAACTCCAAACTTCTAGACATGTTGAGACTCCATTTCGAAAAAATATTATTGGAAAGGAAATTATTTAATCTTCTTATTGAATATGGTTTGCTTTAAATAATAAATAAATAAACTATGTTTTCAAAAGACAATTTTGTGTGAAATATTATTAAGATTGTAAAGCAGATAGATAGCCCCATTAATTACCTTTCCAATGATACCTCATTTTTGTAGTCGGAGAAATTGTGAACTTATAAGGGATTTTGTGTCCGTAACTTGGATGATTTGTTTTGTTTTTTCGTAGGTCCATACTTTTTGAAAAAAAAATTTAAGTTCATTTGTCAGTATTAGTTTTATGAAATTAGTCTATCTGCAAAATTTGAGCCAATACGAAAATCACTTTTGGTTACATTTATAAAGGGATCGCCGATGGACATACATACATATGTATCACAAAAAAGTTAAGGTTGCTCGAAGCGAAATTGAACACTTACTATGCGAATTTTTGTGTAAACATTTTTTTTCTGCACACTGTAAAAGAAGGTGAATCGTTTTTTTTTTATAAGCTTCTTTATTTGATGTATAAACGATATACCGTTGTAAAGGAATTAATCCTTATGTGAGTGAAAAAAAAAATCAACCTCAAAGCGACTCAGGTACCCGGGTACCTTTATACAAAGTGGATGTAAATAGCGTCATATTTTGACATGTCTGCCCAAAATATCAGTTAAAATGCATACAAAGCACATTTAGTAAATCCCCTGCGCATATTTATTACAGCAAATATTGTTGGAATCCTTTTTTTTTTTATTCCCGAAATGGCAACAGTAAGCTAAAAATTTATTATACGTTATACGTCTGAGTCTTAAGTTAACTAAATGTTATTATTTTTTTTTATAAAAGTATAGCTGATTGCTGATTGATTATCAATCTAAATTTCAGACTTTTTGGAAAAATTTTCAAAATTCTGCAAAATTCGCCAAAAATTCTAACTTTTTAATCAGCACCTTTAGAATAAAGTTTGGTATGAAGTTTTGCAGGCTATTAAATTTTGGTAGAATAAAGCGCAAATATGAATTGGCTAAGACTTTCCGTTGATTTTTGTGTTTTTACGCATTTTTTCTCACTTATGTTCGAAAATTTTTTGTATTGGAAAAAAATGCAGATTCCGTCACAAAAAATCGAATCAATAGTAAGAACCGTAAAAATACACTCTCACGTTGAAGAGCGCCTGGGTTATATATTTCCCCAAGTTTAATAGCCGAGAACGATACAGCCAACATGAATCCCGAACAGATTTGATTTATTTAAATATTTACTTTTTATTATTATAATTTTTATTATTAATAATACACTATTACTACATGGAGATTATTTTTCTGACATAGATATCAGACATCAAATAAAAAAGATATATAGAAAAAAAAATCTATTTAGTGGTTTTTGCGGGATGCCGAAAGAAAGTTTTTACATTCCTGAAATACTCTCCTAGCAAGTGTTCAAAATCGCTTGGAACAATCTGATGGCCCTATTATGTATGGCGACTGATAGCCGATGGGTAACCATATACTAAAATTCGCATTACGTATGGCAACTAACTATTAGCTGTCGGCTACTGAGTCTACATAGTAGCGCAATTTTCTGTTCCCCTCTTATGTCGATTTTGCTACTTGTTTACATAAATTTTCAACACATTAGAGCAAAGTTGCCAATTACTTCAAAATATACATACATGACAAAAAAGGGAGTTCGGATGGTGTCTGCCCTTTTCTGTATACTGAGATTAATCGCCATACATAATAGATACAAAGCTGCAGCCGGATTCCAACATTTGCTAATTTCGATCGCCAAAAAAATCTCCAAACGAATTGCAGGCGCCCCTAACAACACGCAACATCTAGTTGCATGCCCGCCACACTTCCAGACTTGATGATTACGCATTGCATGTGTTATTCTTCCATGTTGTATACTTTTGGGACCTACTAATTTCCAATTACGAGAATTTTAGCGACAAAAATTAAGCCTAGCGGGTAGCCATGGCTACTAGACCAGCAATTATATACCAGTCGCCTTACGTAATAGGGCCATGAATTTTTTTCGCCGCATACAACGTGATACAATCTACTGTGTACATGTACAAATGTATGTACGTAAGTTGTAAAGATAGTTACGCTAATTGAAAAGATTACGATTTGGACAAAAAAAAAACAAAACAAGAAAGAGGAGGTTAATGAAAAGCACTATTTCTTCTTCAAAACTGTTGTGTAAGTAGTTGGCAACCCTATGTAAGCAAGTTAATAAGTAAGAAGCCAATGACAAAAGAAATAAAAGAAACTTCAGTACAAAGCAACCACTTTTGTGTCAAACACTATATAACAAAAACGAAGTGCAAAACATATTAAGCAAAATATCAGCAAACAAAGTGTAAAGTACAAAAAAAAAGTAAGAAATAAGTATGGTCCGAGCGAAGGTTGGGTTTCGGCTTTTGTTCGGTTCTAAACAGTTGAGTAATTGCCGAGCATCATATAAAAAATATTTTATCATAAAAACTAAATATTGACCTCAATTCGAAAACTAACCTTTTTAAGTAAAATAATAATTAATTTTCGAATTAATTCCAAACAAAAACTAGGAATTACAGTATTCCCTGCTTAGTTGCACAATTTTTTCAATTAACCCTAAAATCAATTAACCGATCCTCGTTTAATTTAACGGTTTGTTCAATTGCAGAAATTCGTAAATAAATAACCAGACCGTCTTTATAAGAAAGGAAAATGAAAGATACAAGACATGAATTGAAGTGTGGGTCGGTCAGGGGTGTTGAATTTTCTTTAAGAAAAATTTTTATCTCAGGCATCGAAACCATAACTCTAAAGATTTTAAGGCATAAATGTAGAATACCTACAATTCTCAAATTAAAAAAAATCATATTGGGATCGATGGAGATCATTGAGGTGAACGTAACGATATATATATATTTTTTTTGGGAAACAACAACTACAACAATTATTAAAAGTCAAAGTTCAAATTAAGTATGTTTTTTAATTAATATTTCTCCAGAAGCCCTCCAAGGATTTGAAAAATTTGATGTCATTTGATAGAGAATTTAATTCTCTTTAATTTGATATACATATTTATACATATTGGAAAATTATCAGAAATATAATTCGATAATCCGGCAAACATAAAAGCGCGAATATATGTTATATTTCTAAATACATATCACAATTCAAACGCGTTATTAAAAACAACCTACAAACCTTAAAACCTTATTAAGCAAACCCAATGAAAAGCGGAGTATGCAAGTACAAAAAGGAACTTGAAAGCTTTAATAAATGTTTTTGATTTGAAAACTTTACGATTTAAACTTTCATAGCACCTAATTCTTTCGAAGCTAAACGAGAAATAATGCATAATTGGTCCATTTCAGTTTGGAATCTGTCTATCAACAGCATTACCAAGCTCTACATAAAATACAAAATCAGAAAAGCCCTGCAATAACTGAACAAATAATAAAAATTGCAGAATAACCAACTCATAGTGCAAATAAGCTGTATTGCAAAGCAAATAACAACAATCTGCTATTATCGAATGCACTATTTGCATTTTGGGCTGTACTTGCCACCGATGCGAGCAAACAAAAAATATGCACAAATTTGTGCCTACATACGTACTCGTGCAGAAGAGCACGGGCGCATCTATAGTAACAACAGCGATCGTTGCAGACAAACATTTAGCAACTTACAAGTTGAATTCTTCTTTACCTGGTATACTCGCATCGCGATGTAGTGTTATTTTGCCCTTATCAAGCACATCATTGAATGCGGGCCAGCCACAACCTGAATCGTATTTGGTGTCGGAACTGAAGAGATCCTGCTGGCAGACAATGCAACGGTATATGCCTTTTTCATAGTGCTTATTATAGCAACCTAATTGGTGTGTTATTAAACTGTGTTAAATCAAAACAAAACTCTAGACAATAACTACTAACATATTGGGCACGCACCTGTAAATGGTCGCTCTGTAGCAGCCTCCTGTGTCACTTGATACTGTAGTGGTGTCAGACGCTTCTTCAGCTCCTCCTTATTCACATTTACTTTTTCTGCTTTATTTTCCATTTTTGTATCTTTTAAAATGTTTTCGGCTGCCTGGTTTTGTGGTTTATCTGTAATTAGAGATAGAAAAGATGGTATTAAGTTATTAAATTTAATATGTAGGTATGTATGTACGGTACATGCGCTTTTCTGGTGCTAGGTATACAAACGACAACACCTTCCATTTTAGAAGAGTTAAGTTGCTTTTTTAATATATAATAATATATATATATATATTATATTCAATTTAAGGAAGCTATTAAGAGTGATTTGATTGTCGGGGGTCGTTATCGGCTAGGTTATCGGTTAGGTATTTTCAAATCTGTCCAGCTCCCGCAAATCTTAATACTTTTCCGAAATATTTTGGTGGACGTCTTCAAACGATGTACTCACCAGCTAATATCATTAAAATAACTTCAGCAATCATTGTTTTCGCCTGCATGATACGTGAAACATATAGCCTTTTTTTCATTTCTGAAATCCTCTCATACAAATGTTCGAAATCGATCTGAAGCGTATGAACTTATTTAGACAAACAAAACCATGTCATTTTAATGGTGATTTCGTTTCTTCCAAAAAATGTTGCCCATAACAATGTTTTACATGTTACACTCTACTCTGTAACATATTTTTGCCTTCTTGTCCGTGTATACCTCGCGCAATTCATAATATTTTAGCAATTATCTGACTTTCCGGGCAACCATTACTTCAATGGGCAGAGAGAGAATGTGCCTTTTTTGCCTTACAAGAGTGTGACAGTTTAAGAAACGAACACGTAAAGAGAAAGGGCAATCAAAAGGCGACATTTTTTGGTAGAAACGAAATCACCATAACTTTTCTACTGTGATAAATTTAAATGAATTTAGAACGACACCGTTTTGAAATTTATCAAGCTCGTTGCATGTTGTTAAGATAAACTAATCTTAATACATATTTTCAACGAACGACGTGATAGATTAGCTAAAAGATAAGTAGGTGTTTGCATTTTTAAATATGTATTTACACAGTAAACAACCTTTTTGGCTAAAGGTTAGAAATGCAGGGTAATTTTGTACGCAATTATGCAATGCATTGATGCCTTTAAAAAATACGTACATACATATGTAAGGACAAAATATAGGTGCTAAATTAATTTTGACAACGTGGACATGTCCATATGATTGTGCGTATTCATAGCCAGCTGTTAAGCGAAAGTTCTGTGTGAATCGGCCTTAAGGAATATTAAAAAAAAAAATTTATTCAATTTTGAAAATAAATGAAGGATTCATATTTTTGTGCAATATAAACCGCATTATTTTTAATAATCGTAAAAAGTGACAACTACATCGATGCACCAAGACCGCTGGAATATCTAATATTTAAATTCGGTCCAGTCACATCAGAGGACCAGCACAGATCTTTATTATTTGAGAATATTAAATAACTCTTGATTTCCCATTGTAATTTTTAAATTCGATAAATAAACTGAACAAAAAGCAAAAGATTAAATTGTACTTAAATTTTCTTGTTGTTTTTTCGAGCATATTTACCAATGTTTTAATGCTTATCTAAGCTAAGGTCATAACTCAAAAAAGCGAAACTCGAAAAAACGGCTTAAAAGTTTTGAATTTACATATACTTCCTTATTAAAAATTAATACATGTTCTCTTCTATTGCCACTGGTAATCGAGGCAACTATGAAATCTACCGAACTTTGTATAAAGGAAAATTTGGAAATCAAAGAAGTTAGGATACGAGTATATTAAGAAAACAAAGTAAAAATGCATGCTTAAAATAAAAGTATGCGTTATAACTATACTACCTTTTGTATATGTACATACATTTATCAATCGTATGTGTTTAAATGCAATTACTCTACGAGAATAATAATAGTTTTGGGGAGTTTAGTCATCTCTCGTGCTAAACGTATTATCTTTATCAAGCTTATTAATTGAATAATGAAATCTTTAAAAACGTAATTTTTTGAATTGCATCTTATTAAAAGTGCGATATATATGTATGTACATATGTCGTATATAAATAGATTAGGTTCTAATTATATACTAAATTTCTTAAGGTGCCCGCAATTTTGAACACCACATCGTAAGTTTTTACCCAATATGGTTTCGGTTTTGAAATCAGTAGTCATTTGTTTATATTTCAAGTGGCCACTAGTTGAAGTACCTAGTAGTATCCAAACTATAAACACAAATAAGAGGCACACATAGACCCAAAACTGAAAATATCTATGTACATACTCTGCTAAACTTAATAAACAAAACATATAAGTACATACATATGTAGATATGTATATGCACACACTTACATACATATGAATGTATGGATGTTTGTACATACGTATGGACATGCATGGAAAATGTAGTTTGCCAAACTGTTAATGAAAACTTTCACTGCGTTCAGCGCTTTTACGCCTAAACGGTGGTGCAACATTCGAACGAACTTTTTCTTTAATTAATTCATTTGTTTATAACGAAAAACAAATACAGGTAGGCTATATCGAGCGGCAGATGGTATTTCATTGGTATTCGCACTATAAACCAACGTCATCACTCACCCGTGAAATTTCTTTGATTTATGAATGCAGATGCGCCAGCAATTGATGCTGATGGTTTTACGACAGGTATATGGTGAACATTGGCGAGACGAAGAGCTATAGTCGCAAATTGAATGCGCCGAGGTGTGATATTACGAATAAGTGAAAACATTTCTCTTAAATAATGCAAACTATATTATGTATATATTTTATGATTTTTTTTTTTTATGTAAGCAACTATTTGAGCACTACACTTTTCAATGATTACTCAATCAGGCGTATTAACATGAAATGCAGTCCGAAATTGAAAAAATGCCTTTTTAGGAAAATTGCGCAGCTTTTTAAGAAAGACTCGCTAATTTACTCATCCAATAATGAAACGTCAACTCAAAGCAATACCTAGATGAAATACATATGTATATGTTAATAATAATTAATGCAAAACTATTGTGGTGTTGGTCGCTTTTTCACACGGTCGTTCGCAACGATCTGTCCTTGGGCCATGGTCACAAAACTATGTTGTAGCGATATTTGCCATTTATTAAGTTGTATTCACTCACCTGTTTGGGTTTTTTATTGTCTACTTCTACTACATACGGCTAATTCTGTGCTACTGCTCTTATTTTTAATTTGATATATTCATACGTTCTAAATTTGTACACGATTCTCCCATGGCAACCTACCAGGTGTTATTTCCACGCCACTCGTTACAAAACTGACAGCCACGAGTAGTCAATTGACCAAGCAAAGTGGGAAAATGGCAAAACTAGTGAAACGTCATACACGGGTGCCCGAAAAGCTTGTGGGCCTTGTATAGGAGGCGGTGGCCCCGGTGGATGTGTTGGTATTGGTGAGGAGCGGTTGTAGACGCTTTTGCCGGAAAATGTAAACATGGGAAAATCAAAAAGCTCATTCACATAATAAATTGAAGTCAGCTGTTCAAGAGATGTGTTGCTTTTGTGAATGATCCACAAACTGAGGACGTAAAGAGTGTGTCAGACGTGGCAGTACAATATATTTCGAAAAGGTTGACGCACTGAGAAATTTCAGAAAGCATATGCATGAGCATATGCATGAGCAAATAAAGTGTCTTTCGAAAGGGGTTTTTTCCGAAGGGCGAATGGCACATTGCTAGTGCAGCACGAGCAAGTTGAAATATATTTCTGAAATCGATTGCAGTCTAATCTTGCAACTCTTTATTTCTGGAACTGGGCTCGAATCGTCACATATGATATCCTACTGCTCGTCACGTAAAAACACATTTTTCGAATTATTACATACGTGAACGTAATCTTTGTCCCATTCAGCTTATACTGCCTGACGTATAACGTAATTTTCTTTCATACCGTTTTCGATTCGTGAACGGATGTTACGATTCGAGCCTTGATTTCCGAAATGTGACAGAGCGGTCTCTCTGGCTGTTCACACCTCGAAATAAAATTGCTCTTTCCCAATTTGACAGCGGATTGCGTGGCAAAGTCGGAAATATTGCCTCGTCTGACATACTCTTATCTATATAGATATCTACGTTCTTTACCCCCGTCACCACCGTCTAATAATAATAATGTGTCTTAACATCTGTCAAATTTCACTTTCAAAATGGCATCAAGCCAATCAAATCGACCTGCGCCCAAAGTAAATGGCGCGGTAAAATGAAAATTTAGTTATTATACTACGAAATGACACTTGATGGTAATACAGCGATGGTAAGAAGTTCGGCAAGACAGATGCAATGGAAATTTGCGGTGTCAGGACATTTCTCTGTTAACACAGCTTTTTTAACAGAATCTAGACGTGGGGTTAGAAGATCGAATAGCCCAAATGGCACTTTGGGACCTATTACAAAAAATGTTAGCCTTACCCCGGTATTCAGTAATTCAGTCTCATCAAAGAACGTATCTACGTAATGTAAATGAGTTGATAATAGATCTTTCTTTGTAAACTGCCAAAAAAATAACTATTCATACAAATTTTTAGATTAAAAAATAAAAGTCCGAGAATGAAATTGTCACTGAATCACAAGTACTTGCTCCCAATACCTACCCAGTACTCGGTACAAAGGTATCGATACCAATATTACTTGGCAATTACTTGGTATCGGACAAAAAGTGTCGAGCATGTACTTGTATTTACTGGGTATCGTTTTGTCCCTACCATCAGCGGCACCTCGTTTTGATAAGCGTTGATTAAAGTATCTCAACTTGTTATTAATGGATCCTAATTTACGCAACGTAAGTTAAATCTTGTTTTATAAATATATGTATTTGTACATTATTTTTTCATCCTAGTTAAAAGATTTTCTGACGTTGTATAACAAGGTCACAGAATTATGCTTCTCGAGATGTGTTGAAACGCTATACGAGCGGGATTTGACCAATAGCGAGGTATGTAAATAATTTCTAAATGCACGCACACCTACACTATAAAATGCTCACATATCTTTCTGAATTTCCACAGAGTACTTGTATAGATCGGTGCGTAGTAAAATTTGCTCGGTTTAATCAGAAAATGATGAATGTTTACGTTGAGGTGCAATCAGAAATAAATCAAAAACGTATGCAAGAAATTGAAGCCAATCAAAAACAACTGGAACAACCGCAAGCGTCGGCATCCATGCCATCTGCAGGAAGCATATCGCATTTGCCAACAACAACGAATGGAACACGAGCGCCTGCATTCTCGTAAAAAAAAAAACTTGATTTTAGTAATATTGCATTTTACATAAATTTACCACACTTTGGTGATATAAACACATTTAAACAATCACATGTCGACACGCATTTGCCTTTTACCTTTAATAGGCTTGCCTGCAAGTGGCAAAACTACTTTCAGTAATTGGCTATTGGATATATCACAAAAACCCATCAATATCATACATATTTGCTTTGATGACTACTTGACGCCGCCTACAAACGAAAAATCGTCAAAATTTGAATTTAAACAACAGCGTAACAGCATATTATCCCGTATAAGGGAGCTTATATACGAATTAAAATATGCAGGCAATATCCCGACGCATTTAAGCGCAGTTGTGAAGTCATCTCTATGCACAGATCTTCATGACTTCGTAGTTCTATGCGATGATAATAATTATTATCGTAGTATGCGATATAAATTTTACCAATTGGCCAAGGAAAATGCATGTGCGTATGCACAAATTTATTTCGACTGTGAATTAAAATTAACGTTTGAGCGAAATAGTTTGCGCCCGGCAATGGACCGAGTGTCGGAGGAAACTATGCAACGCATGGCAAAACGACTAGAGACACCAGATCCGACAACCCATCATTGGGAGTTAAACACATACACTATGAGCGATTGCGAAAATTACAACGTAATAAGAACTCGCATTTTGGCCTTCCTTACAAAAACATTTGAAAACATGCTGCAACCAATGCCGGTACAATCCAAATTAGAAACGATACAGTCACTTGTGCATCAACTTGATTTACTACTTCGAAGACGTATTGGCGAAATTATCCAGACGGAACAACTTACAACAAAGCGACAAATAATAGCTAAAGCTTTAAATATAAAACGGAAAGAGTTACTACAAAACGTGAAGATCAAAGCCGAATTAAAGGAGATAAGTTTTAATGATTTGAATGAGTACGTGAATATGCTTTACTGAAGTATCGAAAACACCTCTGGACCTGGAGGAGGTATTGTGAAACACATGTACATATGTAACTCTTAAAACAATCGAAATTAATATTAAAAAATAAAAAATAAATAAATAAGTATATGTACGTGCATAAATACATTCATATGTACATAAGTGCATAAACTTGCATATAAATAGTTTTATTTTATCTTCACTTTCGTAAAGCAATAAAAATTTAATACCCTGCTATTATCTATAAATAATTCAAATACATTACCTTTTTATGCAGGTAAATAAAAAATTAAAAGAAAAGCTTTTAATATGTATTTTATTGAATTAAGACAAACTCTAGAGTTCCTTTAAATATTTTGCGTTTTGTTCGCAAATTTTACATTGGTATGTATTATATTGTATATATAAATTTATTGAATATTTAAGACTTTGTATATTTATAATGGATTTGGTACACGAATATGTTTGTGTAAATACATATAAATTATGCTCATGTATGTTCAATTGCCATTTTATCTAAAACACATCTTCCTTTTTAAAGTTTGAAGAAATTCGAAATGTCTACACACAAAAAAAAAATCCATATCCGCGAAACCAACGCTGCGTTTACATAAGACAATTTGAGACGAGACAATTGAGAATATGTATTAGTCGTCAAATTGTTGTGTAAAGTAGGCGTCCAGACAATTATGAAGACAATAGATACATTTTTTAGCAACCGCTGTTAGTGTCGTTTGGCGTGAATTTCATGCGTTTTTGTCTTGCCTCTTTTTCTCAAATTAACCAAGACGTGACCGAATTGTTCAATTTACTGTCTTCGATCAAATCATAGACAGTGACGAAGACAATGAGAGAAGTGTGAATGTATTAGTGAAAAAATGTGAATTAATTGCTATTGTCTTGGCAAAATTGTCTCATGTAAACGCCGGTAAGGGTAAGAAATTTTAAAATTACGTTTTTAGTTTCTTCTCTGACGTCAGGGTTTTTCTCAATGTACCTTGGTTTTTCTTAAAAAAAACTTTTAAGAACTTTACTTTAACTCAAAAAATTATTTAAAAAACTCAGTGTGATGTAGAAGAATATGAAAGAAAAAAAGTGTAGAATTCGAAGTTTAAATTTTTTGTCGCATAAGGTACTGAAAGGCATTATAAAATGGTATCTTTGACTATTCTAGAAAATTTGCAATATGTATTTTTGAAAAATTCTATGTTAAGGACTCAAATTTCGCCCTTATAACTTTATTAGCTTAAAAAATAAAATTTTTGAATAGGGCATTTTCAATAACTATTCGTCCTTGTGAACCAAAAGACATATTTATTTTTAATTCCACAGAATTATGTCTTCCACTTCGTACCCAAAATATTTATTCTACGTTGCACATACTTTTAAATAGATTTTCGAAATCCGAGTCCTTTAAAAAAAAAAACTGGCAATGAGAGAGAAAAAGCAAAAACGCAGTTTCACTATATCTGAACCTTAGTTTCGTGTGTTTTGACGATATTTTGACATCTATGAAATGAGTACTCTGCCAAAAAACAACCGATGCAAAACCAAACTCGCAAAGAGAGTAACATACATATTACATAGTACAATAATACATGTTTAATTTCATAAAGCATTTTGTAAAATAAATTTTGGAAGCCTGTGATGTTGAGCTGTTAAGACATTCGCTTCCGCAAATGGATAAATACAATTTCTTATTTTTAGAGTTGTTGAAGCTAAGCATGAGATTCTTTTTAAAATATTTTGATTTATTTTAAATTTACTAAATTGTTTAAAAATTTGGTCTTTAATTGATAAAACCTAAGTAAATAAATACGTTTAATGTAAGTCCAGATTTTACAAATGGCAATGTTTTGTTCTCTGCTTTTCAGTTTGCAGTTATTGTTTTAGCAACCAGAAATACTTAAAATTAATATTGCATGCATATTTAGCAGTAAGGGTAAAGTCACAAATGTAAGAATACAAAGCAACAGTATTTTTTTGTATTGCCAAACCGCACTAGAAGAAAAGTTGAAAACTAGCATCTAGCCGTGGTTGCGCACATTTGGCTAAGGTTTAGAAATAAAAGAGGCTGATGTTTTGCATTTTTACATTTAGGACTTCAGCCTAAATATTAAAAAATAAAACGGGAGAAAAACATACAAATGGTACTGCATCTGTTATGCATTTATTATATGTACGCACTTTCATTTTGATTTAATAATTGGAAGATCAATTTTGTGTGGGTGCATTAATTTTAGAAAATCGAGTAGAAATTGCAAAATTTTTTATTAATAAAACTGTAAAGTTTGAGAACAATTAGTTGAAATGCATATAATGCTTGTATCATAAGCTAAACGATTTCAAGATTAGTGGCTTCTAATAATCTGTGCAATTTTTTGAGTGAAGTGTAGTTTTTGTTGTTGCTACTAAGCCCCGCTCGGGTCGGCTCATCCATCAACGATGTAGTCTGTTTCAGCTAAGAGGAGGCCCAGGAAGTGCCAGACTTCAACGGGATCTGTCCATAGGGACAGAGCGTTAGCTGGGTAGGGTTCTGGGAGGCATGCGAAGAGGTGCCGTGAGTCAGGTGGCAACTATTCGCATGCCGGGCATAGGTTGGGCACATCCTCGTTTATCCTGTTCAGGTATGAGTATGAATAGTGCAGTAGTATACACTGAATGCTATATGTAATTATAATTTAATATAGCTTGTCAGAGTATGCTGCTAAAAATAACCACTCGTACCTATGTATAATAAATGCATTTTAAATTCGATATTGTCGAATGATTTTTGAACGCAAACAGCAAGTTATACAGCTTATACACATGAATTTCAATCTGATTTAAAAGTATTGAGCACAAAAACGTATAAAAAAAAGACTAATAAGAAAGCACGAATAATATACTACATGAATATGGGACATTCATATGTACCATTACAAATATGTCGGCAACGCACCATTCAACTTTTGCTTAAATAAAAAACTCACGCAGCCCATCTAGATTTTTGCAAATCAATTTGCCCTTCCAGAGTTTTAGCTAAATATATAATGAATAGTTGTATTAATGCAACGCCCAGTGCAATGCCAGCTATGGTGTACAGATTACGTTCTGCCCAAACACGCACAATTTCAATGCACCCGCTTGCCCAAATACGTTTGCTGGCCGCTGCTACCGAATGCTCTTGAACTCCGTAACCACACATAATGTTGACCAATCCCGAACTAATATCAGTTGCGTTGATACAACAACTGTACGGGACGCCGCAGCGTTCCACCGATGGTGACGAGCAGTTGAAATATTCATTCTTGCCTGCAAATATTATTATTATTATTATTAATTTTAATCATCCATTGTTTTTCATCTATTGTATCTATAGTACAAAAACCGAACTTACTCCAGTCTTGATATCCAGAATTGCTCAGTCCACAACATTTAAACTCGAGTTGGGCAAAATCGATAAGATTTTGCAAATCTGGGTCATCTCGATACGAATGTATAATTTTATCAGTAAATTTATCTTCGAGGAAGGAATTCATATTATGTGGAAACACAAATCCCATAATGGCAATAGCCAATTCTAGTAGAAAGAACATTAGTAAACACATAGTGTAAAATTTAAGCAGGCAAGTATTTTCACGTAGTGCACCCAAACAACCAGCAAAGCTGACCATAGATATAAGTACTCCGGTAAGCATCATTACCAATGAGATATTGAGTATTACATCGTAGAAAGTTTCTAGGCGCACCCATCCCGTGGATTCCCACTTGTCCATAAAAGCATAAAGGCCAATTCCAAGCAGCAGGCCACCCGATAGCCAAAAAATGAAATTTAGCATAAATATCAGATATTTAACACACGAGCTAACATAAGTGAAGTTCTGTGATATTCTTGGATGCATGTTGCGTATTTCTATACCACTATAACCGCCGCCGCCTCCATGGTGACGGTAATTATTCATATCTGGAATCTGCAGATTTCCGCGGTCAAAGAATCAAGGCGACCTAGAACTAT